TTTTGTAACCAATTACTCTATCATATCAAAATATTGAGGAACAATCTCATCTCATGGTGGACAATGATGCTAGTGAAGATCTCCGCGACCATTGATTTGCCTCGAAACAAAATGAGTATTTTGAAAAGTTAAATACTTACTTCTTATGTAATTACCGGTCATCTTCACCAGATGAGAATACTTTTTTTATTCAACTGGAATTATTGCCCAACTTAACCAGGCATTTGGCAATGATGGTGTCAAAGAAACACACTATTCGACGTTAGTTTGCGAAATTTTGTTCTGGAGATTTTAGTCTCGAAGATGAGCACCGAAGTGGTCGACCTACAGTAATCCAGGACGAGAATTTGAGGACCTTGGCTTGAGTAATTCGACATAAAATTTTGAAATATTCATCTTTTCCAACTGCCTAAACCGTAGGTTCTGGTAAATGCCTGCCGAAAAATAACTACTGGATATTGAATTATATCCGACATATTTATGCAAAATACCTCACAGAACTTAGTCTCGCAGATGTTTCTCGTTTCTATTTTACTACATAGGCTGAAGTTTCGGGCCTAACACAGATGACGTTTGTCTTATTGCACTCACCCCCCAAGAGCTTCCAACTCCACTTGACTGTCCGAGAATATTTTTATTGACTTGTGTATGAGGTTGGATTCTTCCAATCTCTCCGCACACAATTTAGTAGCGTAAATTTCCGCTTGAAATACAGTCGCATAAGTTCCTAGGCAGGTAGATATCTCTGTCTCATTAAACTATTATTATCATTATATATGTAAAAACTGGTTCCGCACTACTATATTTTCACGGCAGTGGAAGGTTTAAGTTATAGTAACATTTCATGAATAAATAAATTCAATACTCACTGATTTTCGGAAATGCGGGCTAGAGAACAATCATTTTCATAACCTCCATGTCTGTTTTGCATTCCTGTGTGAATTATACTTCCAACAGGAACATCTACATCATTTGAGCATATATACTGTAAAGCATCCACTACTTCATTACCTTTAGACTGAAAAAAATAAAAAAAGACATCGTTTATATTGAAAGTTCGATCTTCTTCAAAAGTGAATTGAAACTATTTCTGTCACTGGTAAATTATTTTCTTGAAGGAACACAGATATATTTTCAATTCTGTTTTCAAGTGGATCAAAACTGATGACATGAACATATTCAATGAATCAATCTTGACTATGATATTAATTTCAACATTACAAGAACAAGTACAATACTTGGCTTTTCATCGATTTCAACATATACAACAGAATAACTCCAAAGGAAAAAAATCATTTAGATTGACATTCGAGTACAAACTGAATAGGAGAAAGTGTTTTTGTATAATTCAATGATGTTCA